AGGGACGCAGCCACCACCCACCAGGGCAGTCCTCCGCTGCATCTCACGCCCTGAAGACAAGCCCCTGGCCGTCAGTCAGACATCTGCAATCCCCAACCTAAACGCAGGTGCACAGAGCGAGGTGGAATCTGTCCTGGAAGCCAGGCAGCTAGTGCCACCCAGAGGCCAAACGCTGTCCTCAACGTGGAGTGAGGCCAGCACAAGGAGAAAAGGAAGGATATTTGATTTACATACGTATGCAGGGTGTGCAGAAGTAGGTTTACAGTTGTGAGTACACGAAACAGAGTTTATCCTTGTGTTATTTATTAATTAGTGTGTTATTTTCTATAGGAGCAGCTATAAACCTAGTTTTGCCCACCCCCGTATTATATTATGTATGTAGTCTGTATATATACACATGTATGTGTAGATGTGTACATAATGTATGTATATGTCTAATGTGTGTATGTATATACTAGAGGCCCGGTGCACGAATTCGTGCACAGGTGGGGTTCCCTCGGCCTGGCTGGCGATTGGGGCCAATTGGGACCATCTTGCCCAGTCCCGATCAGGGCTGATCGGGCCCGGACAGCAGGGGGGGCGAGGAGGGTAGAGGAACCGAGGGAGGTTGGCTGTGGGAGTGCACTGACCACCAGAGGGCAGCTCCTGCGTTGAGCGTCTGCCCTCTGGTGGTTAGTGCGTGTCATAGCGACCGGTTGACCAGTCGTTTGGTGGACTGGTCTTAATGGTTGCTTAGGCTTTTATATATATAGATGTGTGTATATGGGCATCACACATGACCGACTCACCATGGAGAACAGTAACTCCAAAACATCGGTTCATATGCAGGTAAGAAAACCCCAGAGTGACTGCCCGGGCAAAAGCGATGACCTAACACTGAAGTGGCTGGTCAGAGTTGGGGGACTTGGTTCTCCCCTTGATCCCAGAATGATGAATCCCATCTGTCTGGCCCATCTGCCCGCTCAGAGTGGCTCTGTCACCTAGAAATAAGTGAAGGGTCTTGTTCTACTTTGATGGGTGAGGGAAGGTGCCCAGCGTGACCAGTGGCTTCTCGGGGTGGGGAGCCAGGCACACGGCGAGGGGAGGCAAGAGGAGAGTCCACCCTTCAGACGAACCAAGTAACTCAGCGAGTTCCGGCACGATGTTTAGAAACCCCAGGCTCCCTGGACCCCCAAACAAGACCACCAACAAAAGCCTCTAGTCTAGGCTCCAAGCAGGCCTGGAGCTCAGATAACTAATCGTTACTGAATCCATGGTTACCACTGCGCCTTTCACCGCCCACAGCTGGGAACCGCGCGTTTTTAAGGACACACTGCCCTCCAGCGGCGCCAGGTAAATCTGCTACTGACCGCTTCCCACAGCCAAACCTCAATTGGACTTTGCCTGGGGCCCTGGGAAAGCGTGGGGTGTTGATCACCAGCCCCGAAAGGAGATTAAACGAGGGGAGGTGCAGTGCAAGGGGCGGCGATCTAGTTAGAAACCGGGTCCCTCCCTCCTGGCGGTCGGGCCTCCCAGGGCCCAGATTCGCGCTGTTTCTTAGTGAAGTTACCGTGAGAAGCGGCAGGAGGGGTAAGGTCATTGTCTGGGTGCCTGAGACCTGTCGCCCGTGGGCTCCCCGCAGGCTCCCTGTAAATAGCAGCAGCCAGCATTGCGGGCTCACCGCGTGGAGGGGGCTGTGCCAGGGTCCCGCGGGGCTCACCCTGTTCAGTCTTCCCAATCGCTCCCCTTAATGAGCGCCCTTATCACCCCACTTTGCGGATGAGGAAGCTGAGGCCAGAGACGATGCCCCCTGTGACCGCATGGGGGTCTGGGTCTGCCTGGACCAGAGCGGGAGCTCCCGGCGCTGCGCTGGGACCCGGGCCGTGGGGCCAGGGCTGGACGCGGGCACCCCCGGACGAATGGGCGCTCAGTGAGGCTCTCACCTTGACGATGAGCGGGTTCTGAAACATGGAATCCCGCACGACCCCCAGCCTCTCGTTCTCCATGCCCGGCCGGATGTCGGCCACGGGCAGGGGCCGCCGTGGGGGCGGGCAGATCTGGCTGACCGAGCGGCGCACCGGCTTCTTCGTCCATCGCAGGGGGTCCTGGCGGGAGCTCTTGGCCTCTGGCATCCTGGGGGTCGCGGGGAGTCGACCCGGGGCTGGACCCGGTGCGCTTCCCAGCTTGGGGTCCCGAGCGGATCTCCGGGGAGCCCACCACTTGGACCCCACCACTTGGACCGCGGGGTGGGCCCCAGACTCCGGGCTCCCTCTGGAGCGGGGTGCACCTCCCTCGGAAGCCCCCTCGTTTCAAGGAGACCTAACGGCCCTTATAGGTCCCTCTGGTTCCTCGGAGCATCTTCTGGGAGCCGTGCTGCGGATCCGGGAAGGAGAGAAAGTCAAGACCACCCCTTAGGGAAGAATGGAATGGCCTGTCTCCATGACGACGGGACGCCAACGGTTCTATGTGGCCCTTGTTTGTTTCAGGAAACTATTGGCGGCCATCAAAGTGGACGTTTTCAGATTTTTTCTTAAATAGATGTGAGAAAACCCCAAGAATAATCACCACTGGTGTTAAAAAGTGACAGGCTCTAGAGGACCATTTAGTTTCCCAAGTCAATCTCTCACCACACACACGGGATAGAGACCACATGTTTCACTAAGTGTTTCAGGGTGAGCTAGGGATCCTCACTCCAGGCCTGATGTTCCTGCTAATCCACTGGCGGACCTCAAACTAGTCAACCTCTAGGATCCTCTGTGTTTATCTTCTGTGAAGTAGGTAGGGAGGAAAGTCTAGAGTTAAATGAGACCAGTGGTACCCAACTTTGTGCAACAGAACGAAGAGAAGTTGAAAAGAGACTCACTGAGCCAGACTATCTGGAAATGGGATCTGGGAATCTGCATTTTAAAATACTTCCTCCCTTCCTTTGGATCCCCCCCAACCCCCCGAAAAAGTTCAAAGCTGCAGAAAAGTTGGAAGAAGAGTACAATGAAAACCCATGCAGATTCCACCTGGATTCACCAGCCCTTAGTATTTGCCACATTTACTGTCTCACTGTGACACACACACACACACACACACACACACACACACTGCTGAATTATTTTGAAAATATCTGCAGACAGTGTTATATTTGACCCAAAACACTTCAGCATGTATCTGCCAAGAACAAAGAGGTTCTCATACATAACTCTAATGCCATTATCAGGACTTTATTGTGATACTGTAATGGTGCCTCATATGCAGTCCGTATGCAAAGTGGGATCTGCACTTTCTACTAGCTGCCCGGGTGATTGGTGCAGTGTTTTTGGGACCACTAACCTGGAGGCTCTCTAGTTTGTCTTCTAGTTCCAACCTTTAGTGGGTTTATTCCCCCACCATTATCATCGTTAACTGCTCAAATATCCACAAGGCTCAGGGTAAGCAGTTCACCACGGACCTGCACTTCACGGCTTACATGCCAACAGTGGACAACACCAACATTATTTCCAGAGGGGACCAGACAGGCTTCCACTGCTCATCCAGCGCCGGAAACAGCCCTGGGGTGGCGACATGTGGGTGGGTCTGATGTGTGCTGGGGTTTCTCCAGACTGCTTCACTTCCCGACTTTCACAGACATGCAGGCTGTGCATTTTCCCATCAAAGCCGCTTGGCAGCTCACACCGAGGAGGTCAGGTGGTGCCATGAGAGGCAGGAGAGTGGAGTGTGGAGAGGAGCCACGTAAGTCCTCTTGGACAAGTTACATTAAAGCCCTAGTTTCTCACCCGCAAGGTGAGACCAGTGATACCTGTTAGGTTAGGTGGCTCAGGAGGCGGCGCAAGAAATAGAGAGTCCAGTGAATCAGAAAAGAAAGGAAAGGAAAAGGTTTATTTCTGCGTCCCCGGGAGACCCACGTACCCCCAGAGACAGGGCACGTGGATTCACACCAACAGGGAGGGGGGCGCTTTTTTTATACTGCGGTTGGGTGAGGGGCGGGGACATGAGCTGAGGTATTCAGTTGAGGAAGTTTCAGCTGCAGGGGGGTCAGCCAGGTATTCAGGAATGAGTCAGTATCTGTGTGGGGGTCGGTGTGGATTCAGGGAGAAGCCAGCATCTGTGTCTGGAACGCTGATCTGCCAGAAATGCCAGGGGGAGTCCATTATCTCATCACATGTCTGCATGTATCCGATCCTGGGCTCTCTCCGACCTAACAATACCTAACGAAGATAACTACAACACAGGATTGAATGAGAAAACAGATGCCCACGTGGTTATGTTCACTATGCAATAAGGCTACAAACTTGAATGGTGTGTATGTACTGGTCTGAACTTGCTGGTCTGGGTAAAGCGTTACTTTTCATCCCAGCTAAGTTTCTTGGGGACTCAGTTGAAATGGGAGGACTGGAATAGGTCTGGAAGGCTCTTTCTGCCTCATCTAAGCTTGACGTGCAGCAGACCCTGCACCAGCCCGCCCCTGCCTACGGCCGACCTCATACCACTCTCCCCCCCATTCACTGTGGCCCAGCTGCCCGGCCTTCACTCAGCTCCTGCCGCAAAGGGGTTCAGGGCCTTTGTGTTTGCCTCCAGCCTGGGGCCATCTCCCATCCAGAGCTGTGCTCGCCCTTTTCATTCAGAGCCTTCCCTCCCATCTCAGTAGCACGCCGTGTCCCCCGCACGCTCCATCGCGTCACTGCTTCATGTTCCTTCCAGGGCACAGTGAAGCTGTCTTGGTTGATGTGTTTATCTGTCTCCCTCAGGTTAGGACCCTCACCATCTTCACGCAGAAATCATTACTAAATGGGATGCAGGCATGAGCTAGCCAGCCCAGGGAGAATGCGGTCCCACTTTCTTAGTTTCAGGATCCCGCTCTAGCCTGCCCCTCCCCCCCTCCCCGGGAACAAAACGGGCAGAAACCACGCCTCCTTCCCAGTGCCAGTCCAGCCGCCAGCAAGTCAGCGTGGCAGCGGGATGCCTAGAGGACCGGAAGTGACGCGCTCCACTTCCGCTTCCACAGCAGCAGCACTTCCGGGTCGGAAGAAACGCGGCGGCGCTCTCGGACTGCAGGTAGGAAGCGGATTTTGTTCCGGGATTTTTAGACGTGCGTGTAGACAC